TTCTCGAGAGTATCCAGAACACACAAGTACACTAAAATATTAGTAGTAACTAAAATATTATAAACTTTCACCCATCTACTTGACAAAATTTGCTAAGTATTTAATATGTGGGAAGGCCACGATGCTAACGAGTATAAAGCATACAGTAAAGCACAAGAATAACAGTCTGAGAGCATTGCCAGGAGGAACAATGTGTGTTGTGTTTGCTGTTTTTATTTTGACATCTTGCATAGCTACTGCAGAACTATTCTCTTTCAGTCTCCTGAAAAAAGATGTGGCCATATTGCATCAGATTGTATTCTTACTGACCTAAATCTGGTGGAGATTTTGTTGTTGTTGTTGTTGTTACTAGGTTTTTTTTTCCTATGCTATTCTGTCTAGGAAGGAGTTATGCTGGTATATTTATACTTTTGCTATTTAAAAAAAAAGTGGGGGCTGGAGAGATGGTTCAGTGGTTAAGACCTTCTTCCAGAGGTCCTGAGTTCAATTCCCAGCAACCACAGGATGGTAGCTTACAACCATCTATAATGAGATCTAATGCTCTCTTCTAGCCTGCAGGCATACATGCAGACAGAACATTAAATACATAAATAAATCTTTTTAAGAGGCTACAGAAAACCCAGAGATGAAGCTAGAAATTTGAATTTTTATGGTGATATTTTGTTTATGATCTAACAAATAAAGCTTGCCTGACGATCAGAGTACAAAGTTAGCCACACCAGTCAGCCATACAGGCCAAGCAGTAGTGGCACACATCTTTAATCCCAGAAGACACACTAGTTAGCCACAGAAGCTGGGCAGTGGTGGTGCATGCTTTTAATCCCAGCACTAGAAGCAAATATATGGCTGGTGGAGAGAAGAGTCTGAGGTTTTGTGGAGACAGGATCGTCTTTTCAGTCTGAGGCAGAGGTAAGATCTAGTGGTTAGCTATTTTGCTTCTCTGATCTTCAGCTTTAACCCCAATATCTCCCTCTGGGTTTTCATTACTCATGCTATAGATTTTGCCTTTGAGAACGAATAGTCAGCTGCAAAAGCAGGGTATCTCTAGGAAGGATGTGGACAGTAGGTGCTACCCCAAACATTCAAAGGACAGATCCCATGAGACTGCGCCCGTATATCCAGGAGTGCAGTGCCCCCTCTAGTCACCCCTAAAAGGCCTTACCTCTGGTATTAATTACTTTTCTCATGGCTGTGTAAAATATATATAATAAACACTTAAGAAAGGAAGGCATCACTACTCTCACAAATGAGTTCTGAGGTCAAGTTCAAGGAAGAGAATGGTGCTGAATGTGACCTTAGCTCACTAGAAATAATAACACACCTAAAAAAAATAAATCCATCACATAGAAAGGAGTTAGAGAAGGAAACTGAGGTAAGGTCTATCCCCAGAGAGGTAGCAGTCTGTAGTGGAACCACATGTAAGTAAAGGGGCAGAGCTCCAAAGAGGATCTGGCTCCCAGTGACAAACCATCCTTCTGTAAGCTACCACTTTAGGGTCAGAGACCTGCTGTGGGAATCAGGCACAAATGCCAAAGGCATGTGATGAGGCATCCACAGTCATGCTGGCTGCACAGTTTAATCCTCATGAGCTTTCATCTCATGTCCCATTCCTTTGGGAATGGGCTCCTTCAGTATCATTACTGGAATCCACGGTTGTTAGGGATTAGTGGATACTCTGCAGTGGGGATACACTGAGCCATCAGTCTGTGCTACAATTTGGATACGGTTTGTCTTTACCCAGACTCATGCTGAAATTTCATTTCCAGTGGTGGTGGTATTAGGGGTAGTTATGGATAATCTTAACTGTCAACTTGACTAGATTTGTAATTACCATGGAAACACATACAGAGTATCTATGAAGACATTTCCAGAAAGCTTTAACTAAAGAGGAAGACATATAGATGGCACTATCGCCTGGGCTGGGGTCTAGGACTGAATACAGAGAAAGCAAGGTGAGCAACAGCATTCACCTTTCTCTGCTTCTGGACTACATGGTGAGTCCTGTTGCCATGTTCCCCCTCTTGTGATGGACGGTACCCTCAAACCGTGAGCCCAAATAAACCCTTCCTTTCTTAAGTGTTTATTATGTATTTTTACATAGCTACAAGAAAAGTAATTAATACCAGAGGTAAGGCCTTTTAGGGGTGACTAGAGGGGGCACTGCACTCCTGAATATATGGGCACAGTCTCATGGGATCTCTCTTGCCCAAGGGACTGTTAGAAAGGGAATGTGGCAGCTCTGTTCACTCTCTCACACACACTTTCTCACACAAGGTAGTTTCTTCTTCCCATTCTACTGTAAGTAGAAACCACATGGAGCCCTCAACAGACACAGCTGCTTGACTTTAGACTTCCAGCATCTTGAACTAGCAGCTCAAATAACCCTTTCTTTTCTGAATTACTGAGTGTCAAGTATCTGTTAAAGCAACAGAAAACAAAGTTTAAGAGGTCTGGGACTTGCTTCTTCAGTGTTGATGTAGAAGACTTATAGAGCAGTACTCTCTGTACACAAAGCAGTACAATATCACAGACCTGGAGTCTTAACACCTATAAAGGAACCTGTGGAAGTTTCTCCCTTAGACTCTTAACTAAATACCGGCTAGACTCCTATAGTCAGTACATAATAATTCTAGTTGGCACAAAATCAGTAAATACATGAGCTATGTGAATTACAGTTTAATTATTTAAAAACAGCTTTATTTTCAGTGTGCATTTGTGTGTTGTGCTCTACTGAAAACATACATTTTCCATGTCCTCCAAACAGATTAAATTTATACAAGAAAACTCTAGATTTTATTGTCTTTACTTTGGCTAAGCTACAAGAAAGGGCAAATTTATACCTCTAAATCTAAACAGGGTAGGGTAAAGTTACAGAATTTTACTCAAGAAATCAGGAAGGAAAACAAATTATAAAAATTATTTTACAAAGTTGGGCGGTGGCGGTGCAAGCTTTTACTCTCAGTACCCAGGAGGCAGAGGCAGGTGGATCTCTGTGAGTTTGAGACCAGCCTGTCTACAGAGTGAGTTCCAGTACAGCCAGAGCAGCACAGAAAACTCTGTCATGGGGGAGGAGGAATATATTACAAATGGAACTTTCACACTAATCTAATTGGTTTATGGTATTTGTGAACTATGCCACATGTACTCTGTTCTTTTACACAGAAAGATGAAATATTATAATCCTGTCAGTATAGGTTTGTATGCATACCCTGGTATATATCAACTGAGAAAAATGTCTAAAAGATATACAGCAAAATGTTGGTAGATTTTCCTCCAGGTGGTAGGATTAAAGGCAATGCCTGTTTTCTTTTCTATACTTTTCTATAGTTTACTAAATCTTCTGTAATGAATATAACCATTTGTTTAGAAAAATAAGCTATTTAAGATATCAAATTATTTAACATCTATATTTAGTGTAAAGATAATCAAGATGTCAGACACAGATTTAAAAGAGGAAAAGATTTAAAGAAGGTCCGTGGGGAGCTGGAGATACCTCAGCATTTTAGAGCACTTAAGAGGACACAGACACTATTCTCAGCATCCACATGGCAGCTCACAACTCCAGTTCTAGGGGATTTGATGCCTGCTTCTAACATCTGTGGGCACCAGACACATGAGTGATGCACACTGTACATATAGGTAAAACACTTATACAAATAAATTAAAATAAATCTAAAAAAAGTTTTTAAAAAGATCCACCTGGACGAGTAAACATTTTACAGAATCTTTAAACAACAAAAGAGAACATTCTTACTTTACAAGGTGACTTAATGCAAAGCTTCATTTGTCAACATACAATTGAAACAAGCACCTTCAATAAAATACCTGTGGATTTACAACATAGACCCAACCTACACAGCCTACCACCAAGACCATAAGACAGCTGAGTACAGAGTACAGAGCTGGGTTGTCACTGACTGACCCTAAAACAGACAGACATCAGGCAGAAACCTCCTCAGGAGCTCACAGCATAACCTGCTTTTTAGAACACCAGCAGCTATGAAATAAGGTGGGCAGACGCTTCCCTCCTCTCCCCAGCAGCACTCCAAGTCATGGACTGAGCGGGAAAGACAGAACAAGAAGTCAGCACTGGGAGGCAGATGACTGCCACACAATCACCACCAATAAGCTTGTATCATCACATAACAACACTCCAGCCAAATCAAAGAGTTATTTTAAAAATGATAGCTAGGACCACTTATTTCATCTTGGGCTCTCAGCTAAGATAATTCCAGGAAATGATTAACAGATATGAATGACATAATTTAGTACCAGGTTTTGGCAAGGGCTCAAGGAAGCAAGTACTCTCATGAACTGGTGGGAACAAATTGGCATATTATTTCTGGCAGGCAATTTGGCTAAATGTGTTGAAAGTCTTTAAAATGTTTATACTCTTTGACTCACTAAGTCAACGTCTAGGAATTTTTCCTGAAAAAATAATCAGAGATATAAAAAATATACTTTTAATATTCTAAGACCAGAAAGAACATAAACATCTAGTAATACACACATGGCAATAACAGTGGACTAGTGAATATGAAAGTTACATGATAAATCCTAGCTGGCATTTAAAACAACACTTAAAAGAGCCAATGCTGAGAATATGCTCAGAAAGCATTAAATGCATCAAAAAGTCAAGCAATGTATACAGGATGGCTCTAAATTTTATTTTATCCTATTTTTGTGCGGTGCTAAGAATCAAATCCAAAGCCTCAAGGATGCTATGAAAGTGTCTACCACAGAGACACATTCCATCCATTATATTTTTCATAACTACATCATACCATTTGATATAATTTACTATATTTTTTTGAACTATCTGTACAGAAATCTGAGTGCCTTTCTTTGGAATCCCCAGTGTCAATCTGTCTAAATTCAAATAGATCTTCAAACTTGAATGCTTAATTCATAGATACAGCTGAACAATTGATTCTCTTTGCTCCATGATTTTAAGGTCTGGAAGAGAAATGTCAACAAATAGTTGAGAGCCCTCTCCTTACCTTTGCTAGCAGGCTGGAAACATGTTTAATTTCACCATTTGCCTTTAGCAATTCTTGTCTGAGCTCCGTGCAAGACAGTTGCAACTGATCTTTCTCAGCTCGAGCCACTTTCAGCATCTCCTGAACCTCGAAGTTCTCTGCTGTCTGTTCCACAGTACTGCTGGCCTCTACGGCCTTCTGCTTATCAGCCTCCAAATGAGCCTTCAAGGACCCATTCTCCATTTTCAAGCCTTCCAAGGTAACTCTACATTCCTCCAGAGTTTTAGCCATCACACTATTATTACACCGTTCGTGTTCTAGGAACCCATTCAGCTTCTCATTTTCTTCCTTCAGGTGTTTAATCATGTCTATAGCTCCTTGGTTTTCTTCCTCAACCTTCCGTAGGCTACAGGTCAACTGCTGCTGAATGTTGAGCAGCTTCTCTCTTTCAAAGCGGCTCTTCTCAAGAATATCTGTGCATTTCTGCTCCAGCTCAAGGATTTTTCCTCCTTGGGCACTAGGCTCCTCATTCTTCACTCGTTCTTGTAAAAGGTTGATCAGTTTCTCATTTTCCTGACTCAGCTGTTCTGCCCTCTCGCGGTGCTGGTGGAAGGAGGTCTCTAAAATGGTCTTCTCATCCACCAGCTTCTCATTCTCAGCTGTCAGTTCCTGCACCATCTGCTGCTGGTCTGATAATTCCTGCAAAGTAGCCTGCAGCTCTTCAGCAGTACTGTGTTGATTCTCCTCCATCTTTTGTATCTTCTCAGTTAGAGATGCCAAGGACAGCTCACTTGCATTGTTTGGGGAACTCCCAGTAGGGGAGCACTTGGAGCCCTTAAAAGAGTTGCTGGTGGCCGACAGGGGCCGAGATGGGATATCTGTAGTGATATGCTCAAAATCTGAGGCATCCGGTGACAGAGAGGCTTTAGTGACATCACTGCTTGAAGACCCTGATGTCCGCAATGCACTTCCATGTGTGCTTCTTCTATACTCATCGGTTTCGCTGGACAACTCATTTCCAACTGGGCTTCCGAAGCTGGACTCGTGGGTTATGGATGTTGGGCAGCTGCTGTCACCAGTGTGACTTGCTGCCCCTTCTGAATTTGGGGACTGCTGAAGGTAAGTCAGTTTCTCCTTTAAGGCCCGGTTTTCTTCCTCTAGGTCAGCAAGTTCTTTCTGAAAGGTCTTATTCTTTTCCTCCAGGGTTCTTAGCAAAGGTTCTGTGTCACCTACTGGGGCTGATGCTCCCTCTGCACTTGGGTCTGATGCATTGGCGTCCTCAGTGCTCAGGGCCCACCTTTCTTTACATTTTTTTAGTTCACTTCGAAGCCTGTTGATTTCACTGTCTTTGGTTTTGGCTTCTGCCAGAAGTTCCCGAACCTGGGACTCGAGTATAGACTTCTCTGTGCCTTCGTGCTCTTGCTTAGGTTTTGCAGAGGTGGTCTTCAGGTGCTTGGTAGGAGTGGGAGTGCAGGAAGAAGTTGGACTAGAGCCCAACTTCTTGGAGCTGGAGGGACCTCGTGGCACAGACCTCTCTCTTGAGACAGTTGCTGAGAGTTCCCGAGGAGCTGGAATGCCTGTCCGTTTGGTTGTTGGAACAGTCCCTAAAGATAAAAGATGAAGAAAAAAAAACTTGAAAAAAAGAAAGAAAAAGAAAAGCAAGGATTTTTAATGAGACTCAAATGTCTTCAAAACATGGCATAGAGGATGGTATAGCTGTCACCGTTCATCCAATTCTTCCTCCTCTAGATAGTTATTCTGTCTTGAGTAGGGTTTCTATACCTCTTCCCATGGGCTTGTGCACTAAGGAAAGCAGACTTAGCCTAGGCAATCAAGAACAATCCTATCCCCCCACCACAGTTGGTGGTCCAAGGGAGAGCACACAGCTCAATTAAGATCTATGGGACACAACTTGGAACCCAAAGCTGCCACGCTGGGCAAAGACTCAGAGTAGAGAACTGCTTAACCCTCAACAGAGAAGCTGCTTCTTGCAGTAGACAGTAATTAACAAAGAGATCCACGAGTGGACAATGTGTAGAGAGTGAGCAACTTCAAGGCTAAGGGAGCTATGTGGAAGAGGAGGTGGAAAGATTTTAAGAGCCATAGGTATAGGATGACTTCAAGAAAACAGTGTTTCCAGATCTAACAGGACTGACAGACATATGAACTCACAGACTGACAGTATACATAATTTCTATGCAGATTCAAACCAGACAAAATCCCAGCATTGAAAAGGGGAAGTGGGCACAGAGTCCCACACTTAACCAAGAAACTATTTGCAATTGGTATCTGTTGGGAAAGAACAAATTAGCTTCCTCCAATACAATGACACTGGGCATATCAATCACACTCCAGGACAGGCTCCATGACCATGAACTCCATGCTTTTTTTCATGCACTTTTTTTTATCTTATTTATTTGTTTATTTGCTTAACTGTTATGATTTCCAATTGTGTTGTTGGTTTTTTAAGGCGGGATCTGAAAGGAGCTGGTGAGAGGAAAGAATATGATCGAAATATACTATATGAAAAATATTCTTATATAAAAATTTTAGAAGATCTACAAATACTAGAATAAAGATTTTTTAAAGGGGTGCAGGGACAGGCTGGTAAATACCACTACCCATCAAGAGAAGAGTACATGGCATGGGAAGGGTTGGCAACCACTCTGCCATCCTGTGAGAAGGGTAGCACTCGGCTGTGGTACAGAAAGAAGGAAACCAAAATCTTTTTTTATTATTATTTTTAAATTTAAATTAGAAACAAAGTTGCTTCACATGTCAATTCCAGGTCCCTCTCCGTTTCCCTCCCTTCCTCCCGTGCCCTCCCACCAACCTCCCCAATATCCCCTCATTTCCCCAGGGAGGGTGAGGCCATCTATGGGGGTGTCCATAGTCTGTCACTTCATCCAGGGCAGGGCCTAGACAAGAGTTCAGGGTGAGAGTGCATCTCTCATTGTTGGATGGAAGTCCAAAGTCCATTTGTATACCCGGGATAAATACTGATCTACTACCCAAGGCTCAATAGATTACCTAGGCCTCCTCACTGACACCCACATTCAGGGGGTCGGAAACCAAATTCTTAATGGCATCATATCAACCCTGGAGCTTGGCCTATTGCTGATCTTCCAGTTACAGCAGCTGGTTTACATGTTTCCTATAGGTCTCTGAATTGGGCTCTCTATAACTTGCAGCATAATACAGCTACGTAGATAATGTTGGGGACTAAATAAAATAAAAGTTTATTTACATTTCCTAAAGACATATTTTAACAGAAAGCAACTTTGAGGTAGGAAGAGGGGCTTGGGGATATAGCTGAGTAATAACACACTTGCCTAGCATGTCCAAGGCACTGTATTTCATCTTCAATGAGGAAGAGAAGGTGGGGGAAGGGAGGACTCTACCAAGGAATCAGAAAACAGAAATGGCATTTGGGAGGCAGAGTTAGGCATATGTCTGAGTTTGAGGTCAGTCTGGTTTACAAAGCGAGTTCCAGGACAGCCAGGGCAATACAGAGAAACCCTGTCTCGAAAAAGAAAAAAAAAAGAAAACAGAATTGGTATGCTCCTTTATATTGGTAGAAAAACAAGAACAAATGGGATAAGGATGTGGAATAGCTACAAATTTTTAAAAAGAGATTCATAAAACAGGGAAATGAGACAGAATTTATAATATTATTATGAGAAATGTAAGTTCAAGGAGTTTTGGAGTTTTTAATTTTATTTTACTACATCATGGAGAATGCCAACAATATCTAGGAGTAAAAACATTACAGTTCACACAGGAGTCACAGGGAAATGAATACTCTGAACTCAAACTAATAACTGTAAAGACCTCTGGAGTCTAGGCTAACTGCTATAGCCTGGTCTCTATTCAGGTAAGACCCTAGATATGACCCATCTCTTTCTCTCTACAGTGTAGGAAGGGGTGTAGAATGTACCCTTGTGGTCACAGTCTAGTGTTCAGATACTCAGAGTCCAGCCTGGCCTAGGCTGCCAAAAGAGGGAGCAGTAGTTAATCTCAACACAGCAATGATGATGGACAGCAAATGGCAGCCATTGCGAAGTCCTGCAGAAACTCAGCCACATTACTAGTAAAAAAAAAAAAAAAAAAAAAAACTAATCATCTTTTAAATTATGCTGGATCTAGAGAGATGAATGAGCACTTGTTGCTCATGTAGAGGACCCAGGTCAGTTCTCAGCACCCACGTGGTGGCTCACAACTTTCTGTAGCTCCAGTTCTAGGGGATCTGACACCCTCTTCTAGCTTCTGCAGGCAGGGCACTAGGCCCTCATGTGATGCACTTTCATGAGCATAAAATAAGTGTTAAATATGCTCTTCAGACACTGAGTATTGTGGCAGACTTCTAAAACTTGTACTCATCTAGTTAATTTGCTTACATCACACTAAATTACTCAATAAATAAAAGGCTTAATTATTCTTATAAAATGAAGATTGCAACCACTCAGCAACAAAATGTTTTTGTAACACCAATCCTCTAGAATGAGGTCATCTTGGAGAGGGCCATGGTAAAGACTGGAAGATCACTAATGTTTCAGAATAACTGTCCATCCAACAGGCAAATGTGCAGATCTAGGATTATCACAACAGTATCTGCCATTCCTCAAGTATCACATGAGGCTCCTCTTCCTTCCTCCCTGCATTCTCTTTCCTCCTTTAGTCATTTGTTGCTTTTCCTTCCATTTGATGCCAAAGTTTAGTCTGTTCTCCTTATAATTATCATCTGTGCCTTGTATAAACCACTCAAAATTTAACAGCAAACCAAAGTTTATTTATGAAATATACCCAGTATGTTGTGAAACATAATGCAAATATTGGTTGCATCTTTTTCTTTTCCTTTGTTAAGACTACACCTTTCCTCTAAGGCTTTCTGTACCTCTGCATTCTCTCCATTCTGTCTGAGGGCCTTCAAATCATATTCAAATTCTCCCTCCTCTTTCCTTTCCTTTCTGCAACTGACCAACTGGTCAGCGAATCCTACCAACAGTTTTAGATGTGTCCCTATGCTGTCCCTTTGCTTTTGTTTTGTTCCAAACCTAGAATGTTTTATGTACATGTCTCAGGTCTCAGGTCTTCCTGACTCCTGACTCCCATACCTTTGAGACAAATTAAACAACCAATTAAGCATCTCATCTGTATTTCTGTACCAGAATCTGTGTTTTTTTGGGTTGTTATTTTGTTTTCAGATAGGATTTCACTATGCAGCTCTGGCTGGCCCAGAGCACTCTATGTAGACAAGGTTAGCCCCAAACTCATAAAAGATCAGCCTGCTTCTGCCTCCCCAGTGTTAGGATTAAAGATATATGACACCATGCCCTGCCAGAATATTTCTTAGACAACTCTGCAGACTTCTTTTTTTTATAATAATTTTTTAATTTAACTTTTTACACGTTACTTACAGTTCCCTCTCCCTCCTCTCCTCCCCCATCCCCCGACCCCTCCAGCTCCTCACCCCACTCCATCCCTGCTCTGCTCCCCAGGGAGGGTAAGGCCTTCCATGAGGGATTTTCAGAGTCTGTCATATCATCCCAGGCAGGGCCTAGATCTTCCCTCATCCAACAGCAGAGTTCTTGTCCCAACCATTATACTCAACCTCATTCATTTCTCCTTGACTCTCAACACACGCAAGAAATTCTAGTCAGTATCTTTGATATTATATATGGGCAAAGACTTTTTAGTGTCACTGCTTTTAGGTACCCACCTTCCTGACAGGAGCCCGTCACCCATGCTCAGTAAGTAAGCCCAACAAACTCATCAGTTCCCTGGGATGAACTCGGATGAAACTGGACCTTGGTTTGTCTTTGGGACCTTATCAGAGGGAACACACATTGCTTAGTTCCTCCTCCCCACCTGGGAGAAATTTCTTACAACAAATAGTAAATTCACTTGTTAATGATATCTTGTCTTGTGGCATTCAGAAAGAGAAACAGTAACTAAAATAAAATGACAGAAGGATGTAATGATGGAAATTGTTTTACTAAAGAGGAATTTAAACATATGAAAATTAAGATGGCTGGATGTTTCCAGAATGGAAAACTAAAAGTTTACACAAATCATGAATCATGAAGGTCTGAATAAGTTATTTAACGTACACAAAGGATGAAACTTAGAGATGATTATACGGTTATTAAAATTTCAAAGATCATCAATGAGAAGGACTGGCTAAAATGTGTATGTCTAATCTAACTTTATTTAGAAAAGTTTGGTTGTTGAAATATTATACAGTAGTTAAAATAGCAGACTAGTGTAACTAATCTTCTGGCCATTCAATATCCAGACTCGAAGGCTATACTAATGTGGATGGGGGGACTAAAAGTCACTGAGGCCCCAGGGGACTGTGAGCCATCTCTTGAAATGTTCTGTAACTGTAGAGTCACCTGTTCTCTTTTTCAGTCTTTGCATTTTAACCAGCATCAAGTCTACAAAGAGGAGGATCAACACGGAGGAAGTTCCCTCACTGCTTCCAAGGGAGCCATAGTCATGCCAGGCCTTTGACTTATCCTCACAAACATGGAACAATGGGTAAAGAAAGGTTAGAGGAGCCAGAGGTTACTCTCAAGCACAAGTGACCTCTGAAGACTAGATC